TCCTCGCCCGGCCTCTCCAACCTCTCCGCCAGGCCCCGGCCTCTCCTCGCCCGGCCTCTCCAGCCTCTCCGCCAGGCCCCGGCCTCTCCAACCTCTCCACCAGGCCCCGAGGCGACCCGCCGCCAGCCCGCCGTCAGGCCCCGTCAGGCCCCGAGACGGCCCGCCGCCGGTTTCCCCGGCCGCCCGGCCGCCCGGCTCCATTCTACTCGCCAGCCGCTCCGCTCGTCCGCTCGTCTGCTCGCCTGCTCGTCAGGCCGCTCGTCTACTCGCCAGGCCGCTCGTCTGCTCGCCAGGCCGCTCCGCTCCGCTCACCAGGCCGCTCACCAGGCCGCTCCGCTCGTCTGCTCGGCTGCTCTTTCCCCACTTCTGCCTTTAAAAGATAAGGGGGGGGGGAAGGAAAAAAAATGGTGTCTGGAAAAGATTTTCTATTTACTGAGGGCATCTAGTGGTGAAAAGTTAATATTGCAACTATTCTTTGGAGAGAAGGATTTGACCTTCAGATTATTCCTGGAAAAGATAAGCTGGTGCAGCTGTGGGAACTGAGAGGGTGGACACTGTTTAATTACAGCCCTCATTAAAAAATAAATAAATAATAAAGAAAGGATTTTCTTTGATTACTTTTAAAATGGAGAAACTCTACTCTCATTTAAATTGCAATGCTGGAAAAGATCTATGAGGTTTCTGAAGAAATATGTGCTATAAGGAAAGGGATTACTACAGAATGAAGAGTCAATTCTATCCCAAACTTTCAAACTGACTTTCAGACTACAACTGTTTATTCTACAAACCAAAACATACCAGAAGAGGAATTAAGGGAGATTAAAGAGGAATTTGTTACAATGAAAGAGACTACCACAGAACTAAGAACCAGAGATTCTTCTTTAAATCGGAAAAGTGACTTCCAGACTACACCTGACTATTCTACACACCAAAATACACTAAAAGATGACTTTATTGAGGATACAGAGGAACTTATTTCATCCTACAAGCATTTTACCTATATTTTGGAGGATCAGAAAAAGCAAAGACTGAGATTTGAACTTTCAAAGCAGCGAGGCTTCAAGAATAAGAGAAATGGAGGTCCAATGCAGAGATCAAGAAGCCTATTACTGCCGCAAGTTGCATCACAAGCAAGAAAGAGAGACCTATCAGATGAAAGGGAAGCGTTGTTATGGAAACCTGTTTGGCAGGAAAAAAAGCCTAGAATAAGACTGAAGAGAGAAATTTAAAGTTATATATATTGGATATAAGGCATTTTAGAACTATGGATTGATTTAAGAATTAAGTTTTTTGAGTAGATATAAGAAAAATGGGTGATTATTAGAATATAGATATTAAATAAAGTAAGAATGTATATTTTGGAATAATAGGTTTATTTGTATGAAAATTATCATATAAGGGAATGAAGAAAAATGAAGAGATGTTTTAGATCGGGATTTGAACTAATAATTAATTGAATGTGATTCTAATAAGACGATGTGTTTTGTTTGACAAAATGGATATTATTAGGTTTGATAATTAATTGGATGAAATTAGAACCTTGTTTAAGCGACTCAAATGATTTAAGGTTGATATTATTTTGCAGCTAGAAATCGATTGATGGATGGTTTAGTTATGTATAGGATAGATTAATATTTTATCTTAATTGGGAGATATTAGTGGAAGAAGGAATAAACAAGATCTATGATGAAATTAAAGAATTAGGATATACTTGGACGGGATACCTGAACTGATAATGTGTGTATTTACAGTTAAGTTTGATTATTGTATTGTAATTGCATAAAGCTTTAAAACAGGTGTAGGATTAATAGCAATTTAAGTTAGAAATAGACTATTTTAAATATATAAGCTATTTGAGGGAAATAGAGAGGGAATATTTGATGTACTGATTGAGTTAATTATATGTTTTGTTTTTGCATTTTTGATTACCCCAGCACCACGGTGTATCTCGAGTACTTTGTATTAAAATCTAAAAAACCAATAAAATTTGTTTTTTAAAAAAAGTGTCGGCTTAGGATGTATATTGTTTCAGGTAAAGCTGCTTTTTGCAATTGACTGATGGTGACTTTGTCAAAGCCTATAGTATTCCAGTGGTGCTCCAGATGTTTTGGAATTGGACTCAAGGCATTATTATTATCTGTCCAAAACAATGTGAATTCACAGGTGCCAGTTCTTTAGCTACTGCATCATGTTATTCCTAAGAACCTAGGATGTCACAGCGTATCAGTGTAGTGTGTGTGCAGATCCAAGCATTGTAGCTTTTTGAAATTGATAAAAGGAAATTTTGCCAATGCACAGATTTTCTAAGTGCTGTCCAAAATTTTTGGGTATGACATCCAGTGTATCAATAACCACTGGGGCCACCACAGTCAATTTATGCCATAATCTTTCAATTTTGATTTTCGGATCTTGATATTTTGTGATCTCTAATTCTTTTATCTTACCATTCCCTAGTATTGCCACATCAATTATCCCCACACTTTCTTCTTTTCAACCACAGATATATCTAATATCTTGAGTCAAGGTCCCACAATACTTTAACTGGCACATTTCAATTACTTTTTCAAATCTATGTTCTCATTAGTTTTTCATTAATGGTACACGATAGTTTTTACAGATGTTACAGTGAATCATTTTAGTGATTGTGTTATGTCAATTATGGTTTGTCACATAGTCTGCCAGATGGTTAGACTGAATTTGGCATTTTTGTCCACCTATCAAGTCCTTTCCAAGAACCTGGGATAGGTAGATGTTGTTTAATGGCGTTGTCGTAGAATATAAGATGTTCTGAGTAAAGCTGCTTTTGCAATTCAATGCCCATAGTGTTCCAGTCATTTTGAGATTGCACCGAAGGTGCCTATTACTATTGATATTATATTTGCTTTCTTTTGCCACAATTGTTGTACTTCTACTATGTGGTCCCCCCACCCCTTTCTCTCTCTTCTATTCTGCTGTCTCCAAGTACTGCCCTGTTCACTACCCAGACTTTTTTGTGTTTCTTATTAACAATTATATTATGTAGCAGGGGCCTGTCTGTTTAAATTCTAACGTCCCAGAGCATTTTACCTTCTTCATTTTCTATTACTTTGTTTATTTATAGTCCCACCAGTTCTTCCTTGCAAGCGAATGGGATTTCTTGCAAATATTCCAATGCACAATTGTTGGTACTTTGTCTTGCCATTGCTTATAGTCAGTCTGTGAAATGTTCTTGCAGCAGCTAATTAGGTGGCCCACTGTTTCTTCAGCTTCTTTGTCGACATTTGCTGTCAGTTGTTGTCTTCTCAATTCTGACTTTGTGTGCATTTGTTCTTAAGGCTTTTGTTGTTGTTGTTAATTGCGAAGTCGTATCCGACCCATCACGACCCCATGGACAACGTTCCTCCAGGTCTTCCTGTCCTCTACCATCTTCTGGAGTCCATTTAAGCTCACGCCTACTGCTTCAGTGATTCCATCCAGCCACCTCGTTCTCTGTCGTCCCCTTCTTCTATTGCCCTCAATCTTTCCCAGCATTAGACCCTTCTCCAGAATTAGCCCCTCTGTCTCTTTCATCAATTTTCCTGCTCTTAATCATTGCCTGGTCTTGTTATCTGCTTTTCCTGCCTTTTTTTGTAAGGTACTGGTCTTGTAATACTTTGCCTTACCACATCTCTTTTCTGTTCTTCATTTAGTCTTTTTTGGTAAGCCAATTTGGTCTCTCCAGAACTCAGTAAGACTTCAGGGTATACCAGCTTCAGTGTATCTTCTTCACTGTCCTTCAGATATTCTTCCAATGCTCTTTTTAATTCTTCAACTGTCTGCTATACTTGCAACATTCCACACCCACCTATAAGTAGAGTCTGTCAACATTGCTGCTTGAATGAAAGGCATGATTCATTGTCATTATATTTCTGGTCTTCCTGTTCAGAGTTTTAGTTCTGCTCAAGTGCAGTTTACTATTCCAGCTATGTATATAATGACTGGAATTGCCCAGGTGTTCATTGTCTTGGTGGTATTTCCTCTACTGAGTTTGGACTTTAAGATCTTCTTCACTCTCTTGATGTATTCATTTCTGACCTTTTTCTTGACTTCATTATGCTTGATGTTGTCAGCTTGAAGGATGCCCAGGTATTTGTAGTAATCATCTTCATCCAGACCCCGATGTCATTTTCGAAGGGCATCTTGGATTCCTTCAGTTTTCACTATTTTTCCCCTGCTGATGATGTGAGTGACAAACTCCATTGCAATATCTTGGCTATATATATGGATAATGTTGAGCAGCAATTCTATTTGAGATGGTGTTTTTCAGTACTGCTTCAGATTATCCATATAAAGGAAATGGGATAGCCTGGCAGATGTTTTTGATATTTGATAGACATGGTATGAATTATTCATATTGTTGACAGAGGAATCAGTACAATGACAAACAATAGTAGTGATAATGACTTTCATTGAAAGATTCATCTCTTTATATTATCTTTTCTGAGACTATCACCATTGATCAGCAACTATGTTTTCAATTGTGTCTTTGATTTTTGCACAAAGATTATACTGACTCCTCTTACTTCTATAATCTCACAGTTGGACTGTTAATATTGAGCTTCATAACCCATCATGATTTTGATCAATCAAGGCTTTCTCATAATGTTTTATAGTAAGATATAAAAATCTTAAAATGTGTTAGTTGCCCCTGAACATTATGTTAAGTATCATGTAATACCTATAGATTTATTCAGATATGAAAATTTCAGTAGTAGAGAAACCCATTTAAACTTATTGTCCTTAGGGAAAAAACAGTGGCATATTGAAAGACTAGTGGTTCTATATATTCACATACATTCTCTTCAATATCTTTAAAACAGGAGCAGTTCTTGTTATGAATGATGCTCTTTGAGTAATCAAGTCTTCTTTGCTATACCATTTGAATTTTGGGGGCTTACCTTTCTTATGCAAGAATAGAAATTTCCCTAACATAATTCCACAGTTTGACAACCTGCTATAATAATTAAGGTTTAGTTAAAAAGCATACTTCAGAATCAGAACCTTAAATCGTGAGATGCAGAAATGTGCTGTACCAACTTTTTTTTTTTAAAAAAAATAGTTCATTCTCTCTTCCTTGCATTTATATCAAGATTCTCTATTAACTGGTTTTCATTTATTTTTTACTCTTAGAATGAGCCAGTTATCAAATCTGCTTGGCTATTTTTCATATCCATATTAGCAATGGAAAATAACTAGAAACTGTGCTAAGGATTAGTTGAGGTATGTTCTTTTATGTGAAACATTTTTAAAAAAAAATTGGACAGATGGTAGCAATGAAATACCCTAAAATCACTGTACTTTTAAGTGGATGAATGTTTATTACTGTAACTTTATCTGTTTTTTGTTTGTTTGTTTGTTTGTTTGTTTTAGGAAAATGGTGTAGCAAATGGAACTGTCTATAAACGACCATTTAATGAATCCTTTGAACAACCATCCATGTATGTTTCTGTGCTTACATTACTTGGTTTTGCATTTGCAACATTGTTTGCCTACTTGCGAGATTTCTTAAGAGACTACGGAATACACAAAAAGGTTGGCACTATCGAACGGAAAGAGCAAATGGTGCGTAAGACTTGACCTATATGAACAATCCCCAGTTATTTCTCAAAAAGCATAGCAGAATGGAAAGACTGAAACAAAAGACTGAAACAAGCGGGCAAGTAAAGGCATTAGGCCTATTGCTTCTCCTATGGATGGCTTGGACAAAGTGGACAGTAAAATATGTAAATATGGAGTATTTCCTGACAGTGGTTGTGGCAATTATAAGATTTTTTTTGTCTCAAGTTCTAAAAACAAAAGGCACAGTACTGTTTAGGATTAACACTCATCAGCCCAAACCTATACGTCAGTGTTTAGGAAGACAACAGTTGTAATACAAAACCTTCTGAAAGCTGATCTGAATAGCTCTTCAATGCAATTAATAGTGAGGCACAAATTTACCGTGTTTTCATGATTCTCTTAGGTAATGTAGCTGCTAAGCTACAGATGAACAAAATATGATTATTTGCTTATCACGGTTTTGGGGTGTTATGCACAAAGACAAGCTGCACCAATTCCTTTAAAACACATACACTTCCCTGTCTTATTTATTTACCTCCTCCTATGTGGCTGGGAGGGAGAAGCATGGTAGCCTAGAGGGGAAGATGTTCTCCTCCCACTTGGAAGGTTGAGAGTTCAATCCTAAGTAACAGCAGATGTTTCTCTCCTAGGGCACAAAAAAAAAATCTGCTGCTAACTCCGCGTAGGTATCAGGAAGGGCATCTGGTCAATAAATGCTCAGTTTCATCTAGTCACTCCAATTCTACCTCAAATGATCTACAGCAGGGGTAGTCAACCTTGGCTCTTTTATGACTCGTGGACTTCAACTCCCAGAATTCCTGAGCCAGCTAAGCTGGCTCAGGAATTCTGGGAATTGAAGTCCACGAGTCATAAAAGAGCCAAGGTTGACTACCCCTGATCTTCAGAGTCATAAAAAGGGAGATTTATGTGGCTGGCTGGAAGGGGAGCAAATTATTTGCTTCCACATCTCAATTGAGAATTGTAATGAACAAAGAGTGACTTTAAACAAAAAAAAATCTCTGAAATCCAGCTGCACACCACTCAATCTGTGAGACTGCCCAGAATAGGCAGCCCTGCAGGACATATTCCCAGTTTGAAGGTGGCAGATTTCATACTACAGAGAATCCTCTCCACACCCTCACAATCCATAAGATCAAATATATCTCAGCCTGTCCTCACAAAATATAACTCTGTCTCATTAGATTCTGTTCAAACATCATCCACTATCGAGCAAATATGCATGGATATTTGTAGATTGTTAGTTTGTTAATGGTTTAGTTATACGTCCAGTTTAATTTCTGTTTCAAGAGTTTTAACATTTCCCACAATATGTTAACAATAAAGATAGCTCCTAATTTTATTTTGAGAATATCATTCAGTCCAATGATGAATTTGATTAAGCAAAAATATATTTTTACCTCCAAAAACATGTCTTGACAAACTACATATGCTTTCTTTTATTTACAGAACCCACAGGCCATTCCAGTCTACCAATACTGAGTGGCATATAACTCCCCAATAGGTAGTTGTACTATGACCATACAATCAGTTTAAAAACTACATAATGCTTCTAGGGAAACAGGAAAAGCAGGATAAAGTATTAACAGTAATAATATGGATGTGATCTCACAATCCAACAGGCAATTACAACAATCCAACCTCCCTGGCTGTTTTTACCTGTTTCCTAAAAAGCCAGAAAAGAATGGGCTGACTGCACATCAAAAGCAATGTTGCTCCAAAAGAGAGGGCAGTGACAGAAAGGCAATGTTTACATGGGCCCTAAAGGTGACATTTGCTACTTGTGAGGGTGTGTAGCAAGACAACTAGCACCTTGAATTGCACTTGGAAGCCATCTGCAACCAATAATACAGAGATTAGGGAATGGGACAACTTGCCAAAGCCAACTCGCTGCGGCCAAATCACCACAGTCCACCCTGGAAGATCTGAGGGGTATTAAATCATCCTCCCCCTCTACGCCATGGACTCCCTCTGATCGGACTTATGTACACTAAAACGGTCCTGCTGGCCCTGCGCGACTCACCCCTCGCGCAGGCCTGGCCCTGTAACATCTCCAGGGCCTACCTCGAGGATGGGGTGTGGAACCCTGAGAGGTGGCATGCAGTGGTCACTAGCA